ACAATGCATGATCTTTTCTGTTCTTTTACTTTTAACATATTGATTATCAATATCTTTAATTTTCAAGTAAGTTTGAAAAGTATAGTTAGGTCTTCTTATGGGGCAGTCTTTCTTTTAATTGGTATATTTTTACCATTTATATTTAATGTAATTGATATTATTGTATTGAAATCTACTATCTTGCTAGAATTTTCTGTTTGTTCCATGTGCTCTTTATTCTTTTTCTCTCTTTTACTGCCTACCTTTGAATTGAGCATTTTTCTTATTCCCTCTTATCTCTACTATTGGATTATTATTTATACTGTCTTTTTAAACATGTTTTTGATAGGCACCATAGGGTTTACAATATACATCTTTAATCACATTCTACCCTCAAATAAACTCTAGGCCTGGATGGCTTCACTGGCAAATCTAACAAACTTATCAGGAAGAAATAATATCAATCCTTGTTTGTCTGGCTGCTACAAGATCTTTGTTTTTAGATCTTAGCCATCTGATTAGGATGTGCCCAGGCATGAATTTCTTTGGGTTTATCCTGTTTGGGGTTTGCTGAGCTTCTTGAATCTGTAGGTTTATGTCTTTTGCCAAACTTGGGAAGTTCTCAGCCATTATTTCTTCAAATATTCTGTCTGTGTCATACTCATTCTCCTTTTCTTCTGGGATTTCAGTGATACAAATATTAAAACTTTTGGGATTGTTCCACAAATCCCTGAAGCTCTCTTCATTTTTTCCCCCAACCCTTTTTTCTCTGTGGTTCAGACTGGGCATTTTCTCAAATTCACTGGCTGCTTTCTTGGGTCATTTTTATTTCACTATTGAATCCATCCATTGAGGCGTTTTTTGTTTTTTGGGGCTTATTGTATTTTTTTAGTTCTACAATAATTTACTTTTGGTTCTTCCTCATACAAAATTCATCAAGCTGTATATTAATAAGGGCAAATTCTATTATGCATAAATTATAGCTCAATAAACTTTATTTTTGAAAAACTGATTGATGCCATGCTATCTATTCATGGGTGTGTAGAGGGAGATGTGTGATGTTATTTTTCTAATAAGACCCTGAGAATTTGAGTAAAATAAAACTAGTTGAAGTTAACAATTTGGACTTAAAAGCCAAATGCACTTTTAAGTCTTAAAATATCTAGCAACCAAAAGTTTCTTCTGCATCTCTAAAGAGATATTCTAAAACCAATCAAAAAGCTTAATTTGTCAATACTACTGCTAAATATACTTTGTTATATTAGAATAATGGTTATCCAGTATTGAGGAATTTCTGAAACTTGGAGATCTTTTTTAGTCTTAAGAGAATTATACAGTGACACCAACCAAGGCAATCTCTGGGTCCCTTTTTCTCTTTTAAAAGGATAACACAGATATTTATCAAAAAACAATTCCAGCAAAAATTTGGGTAGCACCTCACAGGGGCAGTCAAGTGATTTTTTAGATGCTAATAGATAATACAGAAGTGTGAGAGAATAGTTTGTCTCTTAAGGCACCAGAGTCAGAGAGTTTATTTCCTGATTTCAGAGATAAACTGTTATTGTAACATAATCTATTTATAAGTAGTGAGATCTCATACATTTTAGGGCCTTTTTAATTTTTTTAGCAAAATGGAATTTAATTGAATTTTCTGGTCAATCTTTAAGAATGCTGATAACCTCCTCACTAAAATGAAAGGTTTGAAATCAGAAATCTATTTATAAGTTCTCTCATAGCTTTAAAACTATTTTTTGCCCTTCAAAACTTCTACCCATTGTTTTATTTTATTCGTCCTATTTGAAATGTAGAAATATAATTTATTGTATTGAAAACATATGAAGCCATTGAACACTCAATTTTGAATAAAAATTCAAATTATCATGGCTTGCCTGGCATTGTTAAGACTATTAGAAGATCAGCTCATTGATAGTTACTACACACTCTGAAAAACAGAATGTAGAACTGGGTTTTATAAAGGCTGAACTGTAACATACAGGAGGGCCCAGCCTATATAATTCTTCCTGTTAATACTTTAAGACCACTAATGGAGGAATCGGGGTTTCTTACCACTGCACTTCTGTGGCTTTTAAGATAGTACTTGAGTTTTAAATACCCAAGTATTTTTTAAGACTCATGAGGGAATTACCTTAACAATAAAATTAGTTGGGCTCTTCTGATATTGCCTTTTTGTAAGAAAAAATTTCAGTGATAAAATTAATTATCATTTTTCTTTGCTTATAGACTTCGCATATCATTTAAGTGGATGGTTCGAGCTTTCTCTGGATACTTAGCTACAGATCAACTCTTGCTTTTGTGGGATAGAATCCTTGGATACAACTCTCTGGAAATTCTTGCTGGTAAGAGTAAGTGCTTGTTTGTAAAATACATTCTGTGTGTACAGTAAGGCTCCTGTCTTTTCTAACATTCACCACCTGTAATTAGAGTTCAAGTCTACAGTTATTTGTCATTTCTAATTCAGGAACATTTAATAGATTTATCTGGCTTAAAAGACAAGTACTGAGGCTCTGCAATCTTGATATTCTGTCCTACTGCCCAACACCAGCCTATTCCTAGTCGTCTTGATTCCCAGGAAAGCCCATTTTCCCCTCCCCTTCTCTCTCCTCTTTTAGTCCAACCAGGGTTTACTATCTCTTAGCACCTGTGAGGTCTATGAAGTCTATGTCTTGATTCCCAGGAAAGCCCATTTTCCCCTCCCCTTCTCGCTCCTCTTTTAGTCCAACCAGGGTTTACTATCTCTTAGCACCTGTGAGGTCTATGAAGTCTATACTTCTGATCTACTGTGGACTCCCCTGGCTGTCTTAGCATTCTGTTCTGTGCCCCTTCTTAGCTACTACATAAAATCCAAACAGACTGAGACTCCCTGCATAGCTGAAATCTCAGTTCTTCCAGACCTCAGTTTATACTGAATTCAAAACCTTTTCCTTTTCCCTAACAGACTGACTTCTTCCCTGCTGGCTGAGTTTCTCCTTTAACGTATTCTCCTAAGACAAAAAATATTTCATCTTTTTTTTTCAGAAAGCCACAGATGCATCTCTTATTTAATAATTAAGCAGTTCTTACAACAGATATATGCCCAGGGCAATTGTGTGATAACACACAGGGCACATAGTTCTTATTAATTATATTATTTTGCTTGTCTTTTGCACAATAGACTATTATTTTTATCATGGGATTATCAAAGAATTCAAATAATAATTATGAGGTTTTTTTACAACCATAGGTGGAGATTAGAAAAGTTGGCAGAGTGTTCCCTTGCTGTGAGGTCTATAGTAATTGGGTGGCATTTCAAAAGGGAAAATTAGAGTAATACTTGTAATAAAGTACCATGAAGATAAATGTCACCCCTGGCATAATCAGAGATGTCACTGATGTTTTTAACAACTCCTGGTACCCTTCTCTCTTTATTTTTGTAAGCCCCTACAAGTATGGGTTAGGAAAGAATGGCTTGCCCTCATCTCTTTTGGCTGAATGATATGTATAATTTAGATAAAGGAATCCTAAAGGGCATCAGGTATAACTTCTTTTAAACATTTCTGACAAGCAGTCCTTATACTCTGAACACTTTAGTGTTGAGTAATCCCTGTCTTATCAGGTGGCCCATTTCAGTTTGGATAATATTGCTTGTTAAAATGCACTCCTGTTAAACCAAGGTCATTATCATGTTTTTTCAGCACTTGTATCCCTATCTCTCCCCAAAGTCTTCTATTTTCCAGGGTCAGTAGCCTTCTTTTCTGCCACTGTTTCTCAAGTGACAGGATTTTAGACTTCTTACCAAATAACTCTCCTCTGAATATGCCAGAAATTTTGAAGAGTGTTGTATGTAACAATTTGTATTACTTCAAAAAGAAGTTAGATTTTGGTGATGGGCCATAATAATCAACCACATTGTATATCGACAAAATAAAAATTAAAAAAATAAATAAATTAAATAAATAAATAAATAATAAAAAAAACCAAAAAGAAGTTAGAGCATATTAAATAAGGGAACTCAGTAAAAGTAAGTACTTTCTAATCATTAGAACTTTCCAAAAGTAGAATGGGCTCTTTAACTGTCACCTGAAGGGTAAAGAGGTTTTATACCATGAAGAAATGTTGAAATAGAAAACCTTCAAGGCCTCTTCCAATTTAAATTCTGTCATTCTGTGCCTTATCACACCTAAGCAAACTGAAGGAAAAGAGGAATAAATGTATGTTGAATACTGTATATGCTCTAAGTCAGGCACTCTTCTGTGAGTTCATTATATTAATTAAAAAGTTACTGATGAATAGGTAGAAATGTAATCCACACTGTTGCAACCACCTACTTTTCCTGAGTGCTTTTTAAAAATCAGTAGGGAAGAACTGTAGAACATTTAGAAATGAAATTAGACAGATGGGAGCCCCCTACCATGGAATCCAAGTAAAGTGTAAGTAATCTCATATAGATGTATGCAAATTAGTCTTGATTATTCCACACATTTTTGGTATGAGTATTTGGGGACCACCTTTTTTGATCAAGTGAGTTATTATACAGTCTTTAGATATATTTTATTAAATATCACTGACTTTAACTGTGACTTAATTAGAGCCTACTGAAGATCTGTTTAAAGCAAAAGATGTCTTAATTGTTCCTGATAGAGTTGCTTAGAATTAATGTAATGAGGATAGTTTAAAAGACCAAAAGTAAGTATTAGAGTTTCTACATTTCATAATGAAGCATGATTTCAGTTAAAAATATCCCGTAGTATAGATCTTTTCTCCTTGGCAAACAAACCTGTTCTGCGGAAGGGCTGGGCAAACCAAACATGAAGCAGACAGAAAGGAACTTCTGTGATGTGACACCAAGATAAATAAAGGTTGTGAGCGCATAAGCATTTTGGATGCTGAGGTCAATTAGTGAACTGCTCTTTTTTTCC